CCCAGAAAGCCTGAGGCAGGAAGTCTTTCCCACTGTTCCTTTTCCAATCTCAGACCTCAAAAGTTACCCCAAATTTTTTCTGGCAGACACAAAACATCCATAGACAGACAGACAGACAGGGTGCGCACAATCCTATTTCTAACCTTGACCGGTCAAAACAAACTCATTTTGTCCCAGGGTCCCCTTCGAATGGGTTCCGAGGTTTTTCTTTTTTTCCTTTTCTTTTCCTCTTACTTGACTTAACAATATACCTGTCGCTGTTGGGGTTATAGCCCTTGGGCCCCAGCAACCAGCATAAACTTTTTCTTCTTGAGAGTTCTCTCTCTTATCATTTACATACAAATTTAGCAGTTGACAAATCCAATCCTCATCTGATCAAAATTTAGGCCCAAACACTGATGGTGCCAAGACAGGTTCCTTAGTTCACTCCTGGCAACAATATTTAATCATTTTCTTCCCTCTAGTCCTGGGAGCGTCCTCCCAACTTTCTAACATCCTTCCCAGAAGGCTATCAAAAGGAATGTTGTCCCTGGGGATTCCTCCCCCTCTCTTCCAGGTACCTTCGAATTGCCCCTCCCATCTCCGAACCTGTTCTTAGCTCATGGCTAACAGATCTGGACCTTGGGAGTTTGAGACCAGCAAAGATTGTTTCTTACCTTTGCCCAATATATTGGCTCTTGTGGTCTGCCGGCGGCTTCCCCAATCCCCTGGACTTCTTCCACGTGGTTCTAGATCAGGAGTTTGGTTGGGAAAGGCTGAAATACAGCGGGGGAGCGCTCTTCCCGGGATGTCTTACCTTATCCCCTCCGAAATCTAGATAGAGCCCCACGTTGGGCGCCAAAGTGTTAGAAATAGACTTGACACCAAAAATTTAGTATCAAGAAAATTTATTATAAAGAAAGTCCAGAGGATTTAGATGTTTCTGGCCAGAAGCGGGCTCCACCCCTCTTCAGGAGGGGTGGGCCCTGAGTGTAAGGGCAAGTGTGCAGTTGAATTCGGCGCGAAACCTCCCAGGCTGGGATTGGTCCATCCCTTCCCAGGTTACACCTTTCCTTACATGTTCCCCTCCCTTGGTCATACATCCCATGACTCGTTAATGAGGCTCTGATTTTATGCGGGGGTGTGTCAGATAATAGTAATAAAGTTCATTAAGCAGGCGCACTAACATTTTTCAGGTGTCCTCAGGTTGACCCTAACTGGTCTGAGCTGGCTCGACCCCTATCTTGATTTTGGGGTCTTCTTGGAACAATCCACTTACTTCCTGTTGGTCAAGCCCAGCCCACCTACAGTGTGCCACCTCCTGGGACCTTTGTTCTTTAAATCTCTGCATTATTCTACCTGTGGAAACAAGCCCTTCTAACTCTAACAGTTACCCTTTGGTAGCCCTAATCAAGATGTATACTTAGTCTGGGGCTAGCCCTGATGGCCAGGCTTAGGCTTTTATCGAGCTTACAGTGGGGAGCCACTGAAGGTTCAAGGACATAACCACGCAAAAGCACTGGAGGCACAGGCTTCGGTGGAGCACAGTGCAGTTATGGGGGCTCCAAGGGCCCCCCTTTCCCTTAGTAGCTCTGCATCACTTCCTCATGTACCAGGCGCATGGCCTCCAGGAGCTGGGGCAAGGCTGCTGTCACTCAGGTGTTTGAAGATCCTCACCCTTCTTCAACACCACCCCATAGTAGCCCTGAAATGGAGAGGGCTCGGGTGTGCGGTGCAGGGCTAGCTGGGTGCGGGGATCCTGCGGTGCCTGTGGCTGTCTAGGGCATGGGAAGTGCACGGGGAGCACCGTCCCCTCCTGAGGCTGAGTGCCCAACCCAGATCGGCACCCCTACCCTGAATTCAGAGTGCCAAGGTCCCCAGGCATGGTCCCTGCCCCAGGCCCGGACCCCTGGCCCATCAAGAGCCCAATGCCCCTGTGCTCTGGCATTAAAGTTCACTTGTACATCCTGCCAGATCTGCAATTCGTTGGAGGTGGCTGTCACTGGGGAAGAGAAGGAAGGGGCTGCTCTGAGGGGCAGCTGGGAAGAAGGGAAGGGATGGGGACAGCTGGGGAGGCAGGGATCAGGTGAAGAGTGCCTCAGCAACCCCCAGCTTCCTACGGGAAGGCAAAGGGTGACCCTGGGACGACAGCTGGACAGAGCTAGATTTGATCCTGAGAAAGGGGCAAGCCAGGCAAGAGCCACACTGACTACTGCCTCTCCCACCCCTACCACGTCGGGGCTCATCCTTCTGCTAGGCCAGCCCTTCCACATAAAGCTTTTCTCCACACAGCCACTAGGGACAGGCCAGTCCCTGCTCCACCCTCCAGCACCCAAGCGCAACAAGTCCTGTGCCAGGGCTGGCCAGGGACCCAGCACCTTTGGTCAGACCATGGAGAAAGGAAGAAGGAAGCCATGTGCGCTGTGAGAAACTCAGTTGTAAATAACTATGGGTCCTTTCAGAACCAAAAAAATGCACGTTTGCTATTACTGTCATAGAAGAAAAAATTTCCTGGGCAGCTAGGTGGCGCAGTGGATAGAGCTCCAGCCTTCTTGGAGTCAGGAGGACCTGAGTTCAATGCAGCCTTGGACACTTGACACTTACTAGTTGTGTGACCACGGGCAAGTCGCTTAACCCCATTGCCTCACCTCCCCCCCAAAAAAAAAGAAAGAAAAAAATCCAAGAAGCTATCTGCATGGGGCGGTTAGGTGACCTAATGGATAGAGAGATGGGCTTGATGTGCCTAGAGTAGGAAGCATTCCAGTGAATTCAATTCCACTGATACTGAATTCAAATCCAATGTCTAACACCTACTAGCTGTGTGACCCTGGGCAAGTCACTTAACTTCTGTCTGCCACAATCTCCTCAACTGTAAAATGGGGATAATAATAGTCCCTTACTTCACAAACTTGTTGTGAAGTTCAACATTTTTTGTATTTGTAAAGAGGTTAGTATAGTGCCAGGCACATAGCAGGTGCCATAGAAATGTTATTCTCTCTTTCCTGTCTGAGCCTTAGTTTTATCTATAAAATGGGTATAATAATAGCACCTAACAGATTGTTGTGACAATCCAATGAGATTGCTTAGCAAATCACTTTGCAAAACTTAAAGCACATTACATAACTGCCAGCTACTATCATTCTGTAGCTCATGAGTTATTGCTTTATAATATTATAGTGGTTAAAGCATAGCTAAAGCACCTAATTAAGCAAAGACCTATTACGTGCCTACTCCAAGCAGAATGCTGCGCTAGGTGCTGGGGAAGATAGATTCAATTAAAAATTTATATCAAAATATATTTTATACATATATAAAATATACATTTGTATTTATGCATATGTAAATTTAAATGCTTATAAATGTTTTTCAGTTATTTTAGTCACATCCAACCGTTCATGACCCCATTAAGGATTTTCTTGGCAAATCTACTGGTTTGCCATTTCCTTCTCCAGCTCATTTTACAGATGAGGAAACTGAGGCAAACAGGGTTAAGTAACTGGCCCAGGGTGACACAGCTGAGGCCAAATTTTCACTCAGGAAGATGAGTCTTCCTGACTTCACGCCCAGCACTCTATCTACTGGACCAGCTAGCTACCTATTTACACACACACATATACACACATATACATATGTACCTATAAATGCATGCATACATGTACATATATATGTGTGTGTACATAGGTAGATGTGTTTATTTATTTATTTAGCCCGGCCCTCATGGGGCTTACCACTCTGACTTGGTAAATTTAATATTGTGCAAACAGCATGGTGCTTCATGAATGTAGCTTACATCATCTCAGTGCATTATCTGTTATATCATTTCATTTGCTCTTCCCACAACAATCCTACTAGGTGGGGTAAGTGCTATTCTCTTTTTAAGGATAAAGAAGCAGACTCAAGAGATGGCGAGATTAAGTGGCTGCTGAACATGGCTAAGCTAGCCCTGGAGCCTGGTTCTCCTGACCAGCATGCACTGGCTACTGCTGCCGATTGAAATAGATTTTGCCTAAAAGACACAAATGATATTTCATAAGAACTGAAGTGTAAGCTGGACTTTCGTTTGCTGCTGCTCTACTGCATTTCAGTTAAAGTAACAGTTTTCTCCACAGTCTGTTTTCTCCCCATGACATCAGTCAATAGCCCAGTTTACAATCCTGGTAAACATACTCTGGATATGAAGATGTGATGATGCTTCTGATCCGAAACTGTCACATTCCAAGAAGGCTTTCTACGTAAGAAAAGACAATTACAGACAGGGGTCTCTGACATGACACAAACTTTCGTAACCACTATTTGCTGCAAAGGACAATAATTCAAATTCCTCTGCATTTGGCAAGAACAGCATGCCACAAATAATGAGTTCACTGATAGCTTTCAGGATTACCAAATGAATTCAAGGCCACTTAGGGATCATGAAGACAAGGGAAAAAAAAGCTAAGAATTCAGGTCAAGGGAAGAGACCACAGCTGGCCAGCTGAGGCACACTTTGCCAAACTTTTTGCTTTTATACATATAAAAATTAACTATAATATATAAAACTGTAAATAGCGCTTCTGCAAGAGCTGAGAAAACAGCAGGTATTTTGCCTGTAGTATGGGCCTCAACATCAAGCAAAGTGGGTGTATAGGTAGGCATTTAATGAATAAATATTGAAAGAATCAAGGTAGGGAGTTCTGATCTTACTGAATAGGAAAACCCACAAATAAACTATTCATTATCATTCTTTCTTCACCTAGCCAGCTGGCATTTCTGAATTAAACTGGTATGACAAAGTATTGGCTAAATTATTACACTTATGCCATGACTTTCTACATATTAAAGATGATTCTGATGCTCAAAAAAAAAGTGCTACAGGGGAGCAGCTAGGTGGCGCAGTGGATAGAGCACTGGCCCTGAAGTCAGGAGGACCTGAGTTCAAATCCGGCCTCAGATCAAACACTTGACACTTACTAGCTGTGTGACCCTGGGCAAGTCACTTAACCCCAATTGCCTAAAAAGCAAAAAAAAAAAGTGCTATGAAATAACTGAGATGTCTTTTAATTCTGCTTTAATTGAAACTAAAACACAGTAAATGAAGAATGGGGTGAGAGAGAACAGGTTTGTCTGCATAGAATCAAATGATACTTCTGAGTTGATCCATGTAATCTGTGTCTTGCCTTAAATTATGTCTTTACATAGAGAGAGAAAACCCCATATTCTGGCAGAAGCTGAAGGCCATCACAATTCTCTTCTAACTGAACTGCTGGAACAGAGGATGGGGATGTGAACTCTATTTCCCTGTCAGTTCTGAGAAATGTGCTTTTGGGTCTTCAAGATGCCATTTCATTTCAGCAAATGCTTCAGCTGGTCCTGTAGATTTGAAGACAGCTCAACACTACAAATCAGATGGAGAAAAAGGTTCATTTGAAATAAACAAGTAACAAACATTTTTTTTCACAATAATTTAAAAATATGCTCTGTACCTGGCATAACACCTCTTCCTCCTTGCCCTCATATTACATACTATGAGTTCTCAAATATTAATGCAGTCAACTTCTCATTAGTATGGACTATACTATCTTCAGAATTTACGATCATTCATATCTGGGTCCCTAGCTTTACACTGCCAATGAAGGGCGAAAAGACTTGCTACGCAAATTAATGTTATAAATAAGATTTCAGAGGGCACAGTCTCTCTACCTGACCAATCAATCAAGAAGCATTTATTAAGTGTCCACTATGTAGTAGGTACTATACTACATGCTTTGAACATATAATGAAAGAAATAATCCCTACTGGCAACGAGCTTACGGAACCAAAAATTTTATTAACTTGAACACATTAAACGATTCAATTCAACAAATGTATCTTATCCATTAGGATGTAAATGGATGTTGCCAGTTAAAAGTGCCAATTAAAAGTGATTAAATTTGGTTTGAGGTACCATTTGGATAAACTGTGCTAGCAACCAGATGAGCTGCTATCTAAAAGTTAATGACATTTCTTTAAGAATGCAGGGATACATAGTTCAAGATACAGAGAGTATAAATCAACCAGTAGGTTGACCTAAATTTCCCATCCAGCCAGGACCCAGCTGCAGAGTTTCTGCAGGCTAGCCACCCCCCCCTTCCCCCAAGCTTCCCCCACCCCATGCCTCCAGTGTTACTTACTTCTTCTGAATAGCTTCTTGCCTCAATAAGAAAAGAGGAGAGGAAAATAAGAATTATATTCTAACTCAGAATGCACACAAGCTGAAATAAGTTTTTTGTTTTTGTCACATGCTGTATCACTGTCCTTCATCCTAAATGGCCACTACTGACTGAAGAGTCCTATATGTGAGCAGATACAGCTGCAGAGATGGATTCCCAATACAGTCCCTCTGGACCCGCATCACATTAATGGGATGTGGTCCAGCAGATCACATTCAAGGCTCAAACTTATCCTGGGTATCTAAGGCTTGGAGACATCATGTCAGCAGACCCCCACCCATATGGAGAACAACCACGTGCGATATTGTTTATTAAAATATTAGAAGTTCAAATGCAACTGAACATTCCACAAAAGAAAATAAATGAAACAAATTAACTACTTCAATTTCTTTCTTATGCGCTAGTAGAGACTAAACCAACTAAATCGAAGCAAATCTGAGGAATAATAAATGAGGTTTCTTAAAACTACAATATAATCGTTTGAGGAATCTTAGAAAAAATATCTCTTTTTTAAAGCCATCTATGTGACCTGTATGTACTGGACACAACTGCATCAATGTGAACCACAGTGACAAGGGCAGATGCAGCTTCCCAGTATACATATCCTGGTCCCAAGTCAACAAATACTTCATTCCCATCATTCCCACTGGGCCAGTATGCTCCTAAAACAAACTTTCTGCCCCTTTGGCCTACCCTGGGGATATCATGAGAAGGCACAGAAAAGGCTGATCCTGCAAAGATTTCCCCTTCGGAGTTTACACTGTACTTACTGATACTGAAGATGAGTTGTTATAATTGCCATTTTCCTTAAACTCTGTATACAAAAACAAACAAACACAGAAATGTGACTGTCCACTTCATGGCAGCAAACACAAGCTACACTGTCCTTAGAAAACCTGACTCTTAACAGAAAAGACTTCTTACATCTTCTGAGTGCAAGATGGCATCTTCCTGCAACACCATGTTTCGAGCTGCCTGACCCAGCAGCTGAAAGACAAAAATAAAAATGGTAATGATCAACACAATTTCCAAACTTCCTGCAATCTTCCTAGTGCAGCTGCTGCACCCCTCCCGCCCTCCCTACTGCACATACACTCAAGATGTAATGGAGGCTAATTTTCCATTTGTTCATGTTGAGAATGCATTTCCTTGACTCCATGGCAAGCCTGGCACGGTTTTGACATCTGTTCTAAAGGCCACTGCTTCAGAACAGAAGTACTCTGAAACTGCTGAGCTTTCCACATGGCTCATTAAGCCAAGCGCTGAGACAGGGACTCTGCCTTATTCCCCGCTTCCTCAGAAGATTAGGGGGGGCGGGGGATGGGGAGGAGATGTCAGGACAAAAGGTGAGGCTGAGAATCACAAAACTTCAGAGTTGGAAGAGACCCTAGAGACCATTTGGTCCACCTGGTACCTGACCAAGAATTGCCCCTACAATATCCCTGACAAACAAATGGTCATTCAGCCTTCATTTAAAGACCTCTAGTAGCAGGAATGGCCCTCTCCCTCATGAAGCAGCCCCTTCTACTCTCTGATGGCTCTAGTTCTTCAATTTTCCTTTACATCAAGTCAAAGTTTGCAAGGTAAAGGCTCCCAGGATGATAGATTTAGGGTCTGAAGGAATCTTGGAGGCCATCTAGTCCAAATCCTTCATTTTCCAGATAAAATGAAGCCCAGAGACTGGCCCATCAGGTCATAGGTGACACTTGACACCCTCCCCCCCAAAAAAAGCGTAATCCCTCTTCTATGTGACTGCTCTCCCAAGCCTTGAAGACAGCCATTATGTTCCCCTAGGTCTTGCCTTCTTCAGGATAAATATCCCTAGTTCCTTTGACTGACACTCATAAGTGGTGTGGGGCTCCACACACAACAGTGTTTTGGCCTAACGTGCTGCAGTTTCCCCTCGCAGCACACTGAGGCTCTAGCCACTACAAATGAGCCCCAAAGCTCCCTGAAGTGTTCACCTGGGCACAAGGACACTGAACATGTCACCAGTGCCACAGCCACAATTACGACCTGAACCCTCATTTTCCTTCCCTTTGTTGCAACTTTTAAATGGCCAATTCTGAGCCCCCATAGAGGCTTATGGGTAGAAGACCCATGGAAGAGTTCTAATCATGACTTTGCTACCTTAGTGAGCTTGGGCAAGTCATGTCCGGTTCTAAATTCTATATAAATGTGAATATTACTGATAATATTACTTCACTCCAATGGTTTCCTATGATCTCCAGGATCGAATACAAAATGATCTGTCTGGCATTCAGAGAAAGTCCTTCATAGACTAGCCCTCTCCTACCTTTCTGGTCTTTCACACTTTATTTATTCCTCATCATATATTCTTTGATCCAGTAACACTGGCCTCTGGCTGTTCCATGAATAAAACACTCTATCATTGAGCTCCAGGCACTCTCTCTGGCTGTCCCCCGTGCCTAGAATGTTCTCCCACCTCCACTCTGACTACAGACCTCCCTGGCTTCCTTTAACTCCCAACTAAAATTCCACCCTTTACAGGAAGCCTTTGCTGACCTCCCTTCATTTCAGTGCCTCTTCTCTGTAAATTATTTCCATTTATCCTGTATTGCTTGCTTTGTGTATTTTATTTGCATGTTGTCTCCCCCATTAGACAGTATGCTCCTTGAGGGCAGGGGCTGCTTCTTCTTCTTTTGCTATCCCCAGTGTTTAAGCACAGTGCCTGGAACAAAGTAGAGGCTTAATAAATGTATTGACAGTACTCATTTGATCTTTACAACAACCCTGTAAGGCAGTGAGTATAAATATTGTTATCTTCATTTTACAGATGAGGAGATTTAAGGACCAGAGGTGAAATGACTAGACCCAAGGAAGAAGCAGGGGTGGGATCTGAATCCTGTTTTTCTGACTTCAAGTTCAGTGTTCTCCCTAGTACACTATTCTGCCTGAGTCAAGGAGCCCTGAAGTTGGAGGGGGAAAGCCAATAAAATGTTAACAGTTGGTCCAGGAAAGAAAAGCTCATCTATTAGCCAAGGGAATTAATCTTTAGGAAGGCATAAATCCTTTCTGGAGGTGCAAAAAGTTACAAGAATGGCTGCAGGACCAGGATGTCGGAAGTGAAAGGAAGGATTCAGATGTCAGAATGGATGGCCAGTCTTTATCAAATACAGTAAGGGAATGCACAGCGGGATATGGAAAGCATCTCTCCTGTGCAGGTCAGGTGGCAAACGGTCCCTGCTCTTTAATGACCAAGGGCAGCGGTGCCTAGCACGTGGGGAGCACATTTTAAATGTAGGCTCAATACAACCGGGAAAATCTTTCCTCATTTCTAAGCCAATTTCCTCTTCTCTGCAAGGAGCCTCAATGAGCTCTAAGGTCACTTTCAGTTTTAACATTCTTTAATCCCATCATCCTAATGAACAGGTTCAGACAAAATGGTGTAGTGGAAAGAACACTGGACCTGGAGTCAGAACCCCGCGTTTAAAGTCCTCTACTAACTCTGTGCGACCCTGGACAAGTCACTTAACCTCTCTGAGCTTCATTCATGAAATTTAGGATTTCAGATGATCTCTGAGATCTTTCTGTCTTCATTCACAAAGTGAGCCATTTACCACAGATCTCTGGGATCTTCTTTTAAATCTAATGATCCTATTACTGCCTGGGGGACTGACCTAGATGGGCCCTCAAGTTCCTTCCAATTCTGGGACTCAAAGGTCTCAAGATACACTATCCTTAAGACACAGCCACACAGTAGCTACGCCCACCACGTCTCTCCCACTCCTCAATGGACTTCAGTTCCCAGGATGCACCACTTTATCTCCAGGCTCACAATCAGATACTGAAGAGGGTTCCACGGGGAAAACTACAAATCCCACCATGCAGCACGGCTTCCGCCCGCTTTCCCTAGCGCTCGCCCAGAGGTTTCCCTTCCCCATCCCCCTCGCCTGGAGCAGCCTTCCACCTCACCTCAGAGCTCCGTGAACCCTTTAGCACCTGCTTGGTGAGGGCGATCACGTCGGTACCGCAGGCATTCACCTTTTCGGTGAGCAGCCCCTTCACTGACTGGCCAAATCGCGACTGGGGATCGGGCGCCCCCGCCGCCATTGCAGTGGACCGTCAATGGCTCCGTTGCCTCAACGGCAAGTCGCTAGGACCAAGAGAATCTGAAAAGCAATGTGAATGGAGACAGGAAGGATTCAGGACGCATGCGCCTGGGTCCGCGGAGCTTGACTGCGGTGCGTCTTTGCGAGCATCCTCAGACAAATTTGCCCTGCATCCTTAATTCTGTGGAAGAAGCAGTAGCTCCCGTCCTTATTCAAGGCCACAGTGCATAGCCACTGCCCTCAGCTACGTGCGACTGTAAATGGGAAAACTTTTAACAGTGCATTCCCCTTTTATTAAGTTGGGTAGGTACAATGCTTCCACAAGTTCTTATTTAAGATTGTATGATATGGGGGTAGCTGGGTGGCGCAGGGGATAGAGCACCGGCCCAGAAGCCAGGAGGCCCTGAGTTCAAATGCGGCCTCAGACCAAACACTTCACACTTACTAGCTGTGTGACCCTGGGCAAGTCACTTAACCCCAATTGCTTAAAAAAAATAAAATAAAAAATAAGATTGTAGGGTGTGAACACAATTATGAAACAGTATTAACACAATTATGAAACAGTATGAACACAATTACAAAACACTTTTCACAGAACTAAAGTCAGATCCAAATAATTGGAAAAACATCAGTTCCTCATGGGTAGTCTGAGCTAATATAATAAAAGTGACAATTCTACCTAAATTAATTTACTTATTCAGTGCCACACCAATCAAACTACCAGAAAATTATTTTATAGAGCTACAAAAAATAATAACAAGATTCACCTGGAAGAACAAAAGGTCTAGAATATCAAGGGAACTAATGGAAAGAAATGCTAGGGTTGGTAGTCTAGCCATACCAGATCTTATATTGTATTATAAAGCAGCAATCATTAAAACGACTTGGTACTGGCTAAGAAATAGAATGGTGGATCAGTGGAATAGGTTAGGTACACAAGACACAGTAGTCAATGACTATAATAATCTACTGTTTGATAAACCCAAAGACCCCAGCTTCTGGGATAAGAACTCACTATTTGACAAAAATGCTGGGAAAACTGGAAAAGAGTTTGTCAGAAACTAGGCATAGACCAAAGTCTCATACCATATACCAAAATAAAGTCAGAATGGGTACACAATTTAGATATAAAGGCTGATACTATAAGCAAACTGGGAGAGTAAGGAATAGTTTATTTGTCAGATTCATGGAGAACAGAAGAATTTATGACCAAACAAGAGATAAAGAATATTATGAAATTCAAAATGGATAATTTTGATTACAATAAATTGAAAAGTTTTTGCACAAAGTCAATGCAACCAAGATTAGGAGGGAAGCAGAAAACTGGAAAATAATTTTTATAACCAATGTCTCTGATAAAGCTCTCATTTCTAAAATATATAGAGAATGGAGTCAAATTTATAAGAATACAAGTCATTCCCCAACTGATAAATGGTCAAAGTATATAAATAGGCAGTTTTCAGATGAAGAAATTAAAGCTATCTATAGTCATATGAAAAATCATTATTGAAATGAAAGAATCATTAATGATTAGAGAAATGTAAATCAAAACAACTCTGAGATACCACCTCACACCTGTTGGCTAACATGACAAAATAGGAAAGTAATAAATGTTGGAGAAGATGTGGGGAAATTGAAACATTAAGGCATTGTTGGTGGAGTTGTGAACTGATCTAACCATTCTGGAGACCATTTTGGAACTATGGCCAAAGGGCTACAGAAAGGTGCATACCCTTTGACCCAGCAATACCACTTCTAGGTCTGTATCCCAAAGAGAACATAAAAATGGGAAAAGGACCCACATGCACAAGGATCCACAGCCCTTTCTGTGGTAGCAAAGAACTGGAAATTGAGAGGATGCCCATCAATTGGGGAATGGCTGAACAAGTTGTGGTATATGAATGGAATGGAATACTATTGTGCTATAAGAAATGATGAGCAAGCAGACTTCAGAAAAACTTGGAAAGACTTGTATGGACTGATGCTGAGTGAAGTGAGGAGAACCAAGAGAACATTGTACACAGTAACAGCCACATTGTGCGATGACTAGCTTTGATAGACTTAGCTCTTCTCAGCAATGCAAGGATCTAAGACATTTCCAAAAGTCTCATGCTGGAAAATGCTATTCACATCCAAAGAAAGAACTATGGAGTTTGAATGCAGATTGAAGCATACTATTTGCTCTTTTTTTCTTCTGTTTTGTTTCTTCTTTCTTGTGGTTCCTCCTATTGGTTCTAATTCTTCTTTACAACATGACTAATGTGAAAATGTTTAATAGGACATGTATATGTAGAGTATATACCAGATTGCTGGGGAGGGACAGGGAGAAAATTTAAAACTCAAAAGCTTATGGAAGTGAATGTTGAAAATGAAAAATTAATAAAATAAAAAAAATTTTAAAAATAAAAAAAGAACGTAGGACTATAGTTATGATGAAGGCTACAATCAAGCCATGCCATCAACTAGCTCCAGAATTGGGGTAGATTTGTCAGCAGATCATGAAAGATTCTGGTATAGATGGACTGTGCATCATGACAGTACAGAGGAAGATGGAAAAGAGGTCTAACAATCAGAATCATCTCTAAGTCCAAGGGGCCTTTAGGACATAGTATATAAACTCCTTGGGGATGGACACTTTCTCAACTTCATTTTTGTATGCCTCACTCAGTGTGCCTGGCACAAAATAGACATTGTACACTTGGGGAGAGGCTCTGATTTGTTAAGAATATAAAGGGGAGCAAGAGAGGAAGCCGTTGGTATTGCATTTTACCAGGAGAGCAGGAGACCCAGGAGCAAGTTAAACGGACCCCTTCCTTGTATAGACACCCCTTTCCTATGTACTGGCTCACTTTTGCCCCAAGGGCTTATCTCTCCTAGGTCTAGGGCTCAATTTACATTTTACATGGCCTCACCTTAGAACACCCTACCCCTACCCAACTGTCAAACTACATATATAAATTTTCTTTTTCTTTTTCTTTCTCCCTACCTGTCACATTTTTGCTCAAAACCTTGACTCCTCTCTCCTATTCTTTCAAATACATTACCCCGACTACCTCCAATTTCCTTTATATTCTAATTTTTTTTTCTAATTACACTCACTCATTTTCCTGGGCTGCTTTTCTTCACCCTGTTCTGAAATCTGAAGGGAGATAAGAATTGCAAATCCAGAGAACTGCATTCCCTTTCACTCTTTTCACAAACAGCTTTTATAATGTTACTATGCATTTTTAACAAATCACTGAAATCTTAAAGTGATCACATTAAAAGACAGAAAAAAATCTTTGTTTTTGCAGTTTTAAACACATTGCTTTGATATCAGATATATTGGTGGGAGAGGTACAAAGATAGTAATTTAAACTCTTAGCTTTGGGATCTGATTAAACTTGAATTCAAATTCTCAGCCCCTTTCCTCTCTCAGCCCTCACTATCTAGATCCTTCCTTATCAGTAGAGGCTTCTGGCTGCTCTGATTTCAGGACTAGCTTCTGGGAGAGTTCAGTCCCTCCCAGCTCTTTGATTCTGATCTTAATCTCCCAGTTGAAAGCCTAAAATGGGAGTTCTTTCCCAATGTTCTTTCTCTAGTTACAGACCTTACAAGTTTTTCTGCTACATGAGACATTTACAAACACACAGACAGACAACTCTGACAAGATGACATGCACACAATTTTAATTTTAACTTTGACCGGTCAAAGAACCCCACTGTACCCCAGGTAGACTCCATGTCTCCCCAATATTTTATTATCCTCTCTGATGGACTATATGGAAGAATCTACGGAGGACTCTAACCTCCTTCTCAGGTACCTTTTTCTTTACTTCCCATTCTGGGGACTCTAACCCCTGGGACTCGGGAATTTGAACCCCAACCTGACAGACTACTGTCCCTAGGGACTCTAACCCCTCTTAGCCCTGTACAGGGTCACTAACAAGGTGATACTTAAATCCCAAATTTCCTCACCTTGCCTAAATAGACTTTTTACTTCCTTTTTTTTTTCTTAATCGCTGTTTTACTGGTTCACTGATCCTTTCGAAATGTTGAACTCTTGGTCCTCCGCAACCCAGAAAAGGAGAGGCCACTCCCCAGGTAACAAAGCTGCCAAATTCGGCAAGGGCACCCATTTCATTCTCTAGTACTGGTCTGGATCCCCAATCCAATGTCATCCCAAGATGGCCCCCATACTGTAGGAAATAACCTCTGGTGCCCAAATAGGCACAGTAAGTTAGCCAGACTCAGGATGAGTGAAGCAGCGAAACCTTTAATATGTTTCCTGCTAGATGACTTTCATAGGTAGATGTCAGCACAGGTCACAGACTTCCCAAAATGCCCACCACATGTTCCCCTAGGTAAATTTCAAGTATACCGCACTCTAAGTTTAACCGTTCTCCCACTTCAGCCTCTTTAATCAAACAACCAATTTCATCTGGTTCTTGAAGCTCCTGACTCAATTTCTTTATATGGAAATATAATAGTTTCTTACTCCTCACATTGATGGGGTATGGGCCCAAAGTGAGACCTTTGTCCCAATTTAGGCCCCATTTGTCTATGGGCCCTAGAAAACCTTTGGACTGTCCTTGAATTCTCCTACTTGATCAAGGAAGATCTCTGGTGTTCCCCTGAGGCCATGATTCTATCTTTTTGGCTACAACAATCCCCCAATTCTGTTATCCTTGACCTAGCCTGGCCCTCCATTGTCTTGCCTCCCTATAGCCTCAGGCCACTTCCCACCCTTGGTCCTATCTAGGCTCCATTTCGCTGGAATTCTATTACCTCATAGACTATTTGGCCACTCCTAGATCCCTCCCACAGTCTTTCTATATATAAGGTCCATCTTGTCTCCATTAAAATGCATAGATTTTCACAATCTAGCCAATATCCTACAGATGTACAGATTCCTTAAGAATCTAGCTAATATGGCAAATCTTCAATAAACCCTATTTTTGGCTGAAAGAAGGCTTGGGTTGAATTCTTTCAAGCAGGACCCACGTGTCATGATCTGGGGATTCCAGGACCCCTAACTTCTAGACCTGATCAACATCATATTTATTATAATATCTATTATGC